AAATGTTTCTCCTTGTGACCCAAGGTTATCCATTGTTCTCTCCATTACTCAGTATGATCTTCATCTTCTTTTCAGACATTTGGTGTTCTACAGTCCAGTAGCCTTAGTATTTCACCTACACGTGTGTTCAGCATTTCTATATCTTACCTTGAAACCTCATATGGGACCTCTGAGACACCCTTAAAAAGATATTTCCTTCCTAGTGTCTGATCCTGGAGCTGTCACAGGATCTACAGGTTAGGAAAACTGCTTTGAAAATCAGTGTAAGCACTTAAATTTCCTCTTGCTGCATGACTTGACTTAATTCCTTCTGGAGCCGATCTCTGGAAGGTTACTTTACATACTACTTATCTAAGTTGGCAGTGATCAGCCTGTACTCTATAGGAGCGTATACAGGAAGAAGATGGCTTTAGAGAAAGGAAGCTGTTCTTGTGTAATTTATATACAATTTAGCAACTTCTTCCCACGTGTCTCCTTGGATCTCATCATTTCTTCTGACTCTACACTTTACCTTTTTCTTCACGGGTATAAGACTGGCATTGGCCTTCTTGTTTTGCATCAATGCAGTGCCTAGGAGATAAATCTCTACTGTAACAACCTCTACAATGAGACAAAGAACTTCAGATAAACCAGGGAGATGTAATATATCTTAATGCCTGCAAAGACATCACCTACCCCTCTGTCTCAGAGTACACCAGGAAAAGAGAAACCCATATGGGGACTGTGATCTCACCTTCCCAAGGTGTCAACACATCAGGCAGCGACTCTTGAGGTGTGAGAATATCCCAGCCTGGCCCAGAGCCATCACAGGGATGGCTTCAGCAGGCACTAAAACTACTGGGATGTCCTGGGAGAAGGAGTCAAGGACGTTTTAGGTGCCCAGCAGCAGCGGGGATGCAGGGGGATGCAGAACCCTCTCCTTGCCCCCTGGCCAAAGGCAGCCCCATCCTGCTCCCACCCTGTGAGCATCATGAAGCTTCTCCCACCGCCAAAGACCTTCCTCCAGGTCAGGGATTTTCACAGTAAAATCGGTTCCTATTTGTTTTGGTTTCTTCACATGGGGAAATAATCTGCTGTTACCTTTACTCCCTACACAGTGTATAAACTGGGAAAAACAGCTAGACAGCCAGCATCTCATTAAGTAAGACGAGGTGGTGTAAGAACTGGAACACCACCAGCAACATGAAAGTCAGGCAGTTACAGGTTTGTCTGAGGCATGACAGGTCTGAGTATGTTTTCATATTCCAGGCAAGAGAAGCATAGAAGTGGGTATCCCTGGTCCTTCTAAGTCTGCCTAATCAGTTTTTACCTGTTTCAGGAGTTACTGCATTTAACGTTAGAAATGTGGGGCTCTGTGAGCATCTGTGAACAGCCATCAAGCAGATGGATTCTCCCACTCCAGTGTGCGTGGTGCTGGGGAACGTGCCACCAAGAGCAGGTCACTGCAGCCACAGCACTGCAGAGGAGCGGGTCCGTATCCGGAATTCCATTGACACCAGGGATTTTTCTTCTCTGTAATTCAGGGACAAAACCACCAGCATCATGCAATCAGTGCCCAGTACAAGGGATCCAAATTAGCTGTATATATGGCTGTTTGCCTGCCAGGCAAGGCAATATTTTAAACTCCCATCACCAGGTTCCTGAAGAGGATTCCTTAAAGCTCACAATTTCTATCAATGGGTAATGATATTGGTATTATCTCTACAAATTAATGCATTTGATCTATCATAAAGAAAACCATTCACAAGACACCCACCTGTCAAGTCTCTGCGTGCATAAACTGTAATTGCCATCCCTCATCTTCAAGACATGGGGCTGACCCTCTGCAGCATCACCCAGCCCCACCACTGGACGTCCTTCCTTAGTGACACAGCCACACACTCACTGCTTCAAAAGCAAGACTAAGTTATTTGTCAGGGTCCGTGTGCTGATGGATCACAGCGATGGGTACAACCACACCACAAAGTGCTGTTCCTCAAAACCTGCTCATCCCAACCATGCTGTGCATGACCCAACCTCCTGCGAGGCTGCTGTCGCCCTCGAATCCAAGGGAAATACACTAGGGAAGCCACTGTTGGGCTGGATCACCCCAAAATCACCTTCATGATGACCAGTGGGGAGCTGCCTATTGAGAAGGGAGCGTGTGATGCTCTGACAGCAAACCTGGACCTGGGGTGGAACGGAAGGAGACAGCAGCAGCGTGCGGCAGTGCCCTGCCGTGGACAAGGTTGCCATCATGTGGCCAAAGCCTTTTATTCACTTCCCACTCACTTTCCATGGCTTTTAAGTTTTCCCTGCCCATGGCAGGGGGTTGGAACTAAATGATCTTTAAGGTTCCTTCCAACCAAAACCACGCTATGATTCTAAATCGTGGGCATCCAGCTCAAAACTGGTTTAATTGGATGAAGAATATCAGGAAAACTCACCATACAGCTCCAGCGTGGCTCTCAGGGCTTTACATCTGCGGGAGCACTGGACAGACCAAACCTGGGCACCGAGAGGGTAGGATCATTCAAATACACAGCTTCTTGCAAACCTCATCACTTTAATTAATTCATTATATTTTATGGTTTATATAATGTATAATGTGGGCAGATAAGCACCACCACTTATTTGCATTGAAAAACAAGTCTCCCCAAGTATAATCCTTGGAGACATGTGATATTATGCCTCTAAAGAACATGTTTTACATATATATGCGTTAAAAGAGATAACATGGAATAGGTGAAACCTTAAATGCAGCCAGCAACAAATTCTTTTGTGAAGGTTCATTAATTTTATCCATATTTTTTGTCAGAAACAGTTCCCCGTGTTCTTGTCAAGCTCAAAGGCACCATGAGCCTCCTCACCTGCAAGTCCTGCGATGAAGCAACACCGGATGTTTCTCCCACATTTAAGGCCAGTTCTGGGGGAGGCCACACTTCTGGTTTTAATTCTGGCCCCAGTAATTGGGGACCAAGGTTGAGGACCCCATTTCTGAATATTGCTCAGAAATCTGTTTGCTTTCTGCTGAGGTCTTCAAGTCTTGCCACCAATTCCTCCATTCATACACGGAAGAAGACATGGGAGTTTCTCTTCTCTCCTCCTCCGTAAAGGGGGAAAGCTGGATGGCTGCTCCAGGTTGTCTTCAGAAGCTTTTATTGATGCCATCTGCTAAACCCAGCATAGCTGGGCTTTTCCCCCAGAGCTCTTCTCCGGAGGAAGATGAGGGGCAACCATGCATTTCCCAGAGGACAGTGCTGTTCCAGACTGTTCCCCTATGCCATACGTCCCTCCGCATGCGAGGCTGTTACCCCTCAGCCTCTCTTATCCCAGCAGAGATGGTTCTTCTTGGGTTTTGGCACCAGAAGCTCCATGCTTAGAAAATAAAGCATATTGAACAGCATAAGCAGAAATAATCACAACATAAAAGATCCTGGAACAATTGAAAGGCTGAGGTAGACCAAAGAGAGATCTGGGACTGCCCCAGTTGTCTCAGTAATATTGCAGCAAAGAGCTGGAGCTCTGAAGCTGTCCTGTGTATTCTAGAGAACAGTTTGGGATAAGCTCTGCATTCCTTAGAGACCCCCTTTGGCGATGGGCTCTCAAGGCTGCAAAGTGATATCTGCAGGGTTTGGCAGTCATGTCAGGGAGATCAGAAGGTCTAAGAAGTCACCTCTAGCAGGACCCTGGAGGGCTACACAAGGTGAGTTAGGTAAATTAATAGCCAGCTATCTACATGACTTGGTTTATTGTTTTCTGAAGAGAAAGAGCAGCTTAGCCTCGGAATTAAACAACCTCCCTTTTCCCAATTCAACTTATACCTTAGAAAACAAACTGAGGTTGTTGAAGCCCTTCACATTTTTTCATTATAATATGTTAAATTGTGGCAAACTGGAGAGTTCCATGACAGAAACCACAAGTATCCATTCATATGGGTAGTCATCCACTACGTTGATCCTGAAAGCAAGCCAGGATTTGGTGGGAATCCAGCCCTTCCTACACAAAAAGGCCCTGCACACCTACCACACCTCCTCCTTTCCTTGTTCACAAAGAGGAGCATTATATACAATGTCATACAAAAGATGCTCCCTTGGCTGGTGTTGGTTGGGCTGGTTTGGGTATTTCTCTCGTGTGGGTAAGGGAAGCAAGTTGTCCTCTTGGCTCAATAGGAAAAATGTCATTGGTGATAAAGCCCAAAACCACCTTGGGGATTATTAAGGTGCTCTGAGATAATAGAGATTTGAAAGAATTGATAAGAAAATGGTCTTTGGATTTGATTGAGCTGCTGCAGTTTTCAGTGTCCTCCAGGCGCTAAGTCCATGGCAGAAGAGAAAGCAGATGCTGTAGGTGCAGGATGAGAGTCTTCGGTCGGAGCAGCTGATCCCTCTCCAACACCACACTGCTGATTTGGCTCAGGACAGGAGGAGGCTTCCAGGTCTTCCTGGCTACACTTCTGGAATAAGAAAGAAGGTTTATGAAGTAGTGCAGGAAAGAGCAAAGACTGCCAAGAATGATCTTGAGTATTTAACTGCTAAAAAAGTTTCTTTAATCAGATATTTTTAATGCTGCTCCTTTATGCAACCCTTGGTTTATGAGGGGAAAAGTAAAACTGTGAGCTGATGGTCAAGACACTTCAAAAGGGCTTAATTTCAGGTCTTTGTGGAAGGATCAAGGGAGGAAAGGATATTGTGCAGGGACTTTAGTGAGAATGATATTTCACAACTTATAAAATGTTAGAGAATATTTTCCTTTCAGATTTTCTTTTCTGATTTATACTGATCAAAACAATCACAAAAATCAGATTGCAGAGATATTCCAGGAGATCTGGAATGAAACCTAAATCCATTGTCTGCTCCATATCCCACAGACCCAGATTCAAAAAGTGCCTATCCAGATGTAGGTACCCGTGTAGGTTATCGGGCTTTCAGAGGATCTACACAATTGCAACTCCATTTGATTCAAAGATTAATTCTCTAGTTTTAATCAAGCTAAAGGGTCTTTATGCGCTGACCTGGAAGTTAAGGATTGGTCTCAGTTTGGTCTCTTTTCATTGCTTTGAGGGAAAGTTCATAGCCAAGAAACATGGCTGAACTCATTGGGAATCCTCGCACTGCATTGACCGTGATGCCCCTAAAAAAGACCTGTTGGGGATGGAAAGAGGTTAGAGCATAGGAATATACTGGCTCTTTTAAGAAGAAGAAAACATTGAATGAAGTCATGGTAGGATTCTGAAGAACCAGAATCCATTCTTGCTGCTGGTCTCTGCAGAAGTCTGCGCTGGAGAATGGAAAAGCAATGGCAGAAGTCATTGGTTTGGCATCATTGTGCTTTGTGCTCCCATTTATATCTGCTCACAAGAGCTACAAGAAGTAAAGGGCAAAAAACCATCCTCATGTGTAGAGCAGAAAGTAAGAGCCCCAAAATGTGTTCAGGTGTTGTCCTACCTAGTTACAGCCTATGGGGATCATACAAACCCCGCGGTACAACAACAAGGCTGTTGGTTTCATGCAGCAAATGCTCTGTTTCCCAGGGCTGGGTCTGTGGGTGCAGAAGAAAACCAGGTTTACTCTGTACCTTGCTGAGAACTGGCCCTCACCACCAGCTTTGGGAGAAATACTTGATAAAAGCTGGTATTTTCACATGACGCTTCCTAAGATGAAGCTTTAGTGCCCACACATATCCCAGCATTTTCTTTCATTGAGATATTAAATATCCACAGCCAGTGTTCCTCGTTCTGCTCAATATAGGGGTTTTGAAAAGATGCTGGCACTTACAAGAACGAAAGACCCTGTGGCTTTGGAGTGCTTGAACAGCAAAGTGCTGTCTGGAAAGTGGAGAGGGACCCTTGTTGCTCCTATTCACAATAGTTGCAGGGAGCATCTCTACTGGCCTGTTTCTCTCAAAATCCCTCCATTAACCACCCAGGCTAATCACTGCAGTCACTAATCTAAACACCAGAAGTTCAAAATGGACATGAAAAGTCACATCAGCAAAGCAAGCCCCCTTCGAGGCTTCACAAAGGCAAAGCTCCCACGGCTGCTCTGAGGAAGTGTGGAATATCTTGGCTCCAAGACCAAAAGCCCGTAGATTAAAGTGTCAAATGAGTATTTCCCCTGAAATACTGAGCTCTGCTAAACACCACCATATCTTGTATCCACTAAATCCAGTGCATGGTGCTGACTTGTACAAGACAGAATGAAAGGATGTTCACATAGTTTAGGATGGAGTTTGCAATGTGAAATTGCAGTATTGGGATATTTAGGATATTACGGATTTATTGGGGTGGTTTATTTTGTTAGGAAGATAGAATTTTCTGGGAGGAAGTTCCAATTTTTTTGCAGTATCCAAGAAGTAACACGAGAGAATCAAGTTAAATAGGAATGAAGATTTATGAAGGGAAGCCCAGAGGCATAAGCTTTTCTCATCAGAATGAACACACACGACTATGGAAAAAGAAGAGGGCTGTGCTTACTTTGTTGCGTGTATACATGCAATTACTTCCAGCACTGTGAATGCTGTTCCTTTGCCCCAGAATGAAAACATCCAGACCTGAGTTTGTCATTTATTACCTGTCTGTCTCCTTACAAGAGAAGAATCCGGTCTTATCATCAACTACTGTTCAGTCCTATTGCCAGCTTTAATCTGGATGCCAGGCATGACAGCAACAAAACTGGAAGCAGCTTGGACCTCTGACAAAAACAGCTAAGTGCCTGACTGAGTTGTTAATATTCAGGCAGGACAAGAGGGGTAGGGGATGAGGATAGAAAGAGAAGGGAAAACACAGGGAAATCCCCTTTTCAGCCACCCTATGTTTTGCTGTGAATCTAGGTGCCAAACTGAATGTTCAGGGCGTAGAGCCTGGGGCACCCTGACCCTCCAAGCAGAGTCTTTAGCATCTCCAGGTACTAATGCTTCATATCAAAGTGACTTTCTCCATTTAACAGCAAAACCCAAACCAGACTGCAGGCCCTGGGTTGGCAAATATTTAAATCACACCAACTTGTGATTTTGCAGGTTAGTTTTCTTCTTGTACCTCATTACTTTTCCCTCCGAATGTGAAATTTAGCACTTTGGAGCCAAGAGCCCACGTGATGTTTTGATGGTAGCCTAAATAGAGATTCATCTCAGTATCAGGAGACATCACTTCTCGTAACCGTGCACTGGCAATGCAATAAAGCTGCAAACCCTGGTTCTTTGCCATTCACCTTTAACTGAGGCAAAGTTTGCAGGGAGAACAAACATCTTTTATTACACTAATAGACAAAGTCAGAAGGACGTGAGGTTGGTTTTGGCACACGGCCCTTCTTCACGTTTGAAACCAAAGCAATTCTAATTTAAGAACACCTTCAATCAGCTCTATCTTGGTGCAAAATGAGGGTGGGCAGTGCAAAACACAGCATCAGCTCCAGCAAAGCATTGCCCAGGGCAGCCAAATGCACCTGGGGTGCTACTAGAATCAATTCCCTTTGATTTCAGTGTCAGTGGGAAACATTTGACCTCTGCATTTTGTAGAAGCAATCCCAGAAGTGAGATTTTCTACCTCTGATTTATAATAAGTCAAATTATACAATTAAATGCACTGACATGAAGCATTACTTTAAGTTAATTGCACCAGCAGACCGTGATCCCCAGTCATTCATGTTTTCTTTGCTGTAAGGCACATTATTACTCTCACTATTAGAATATAAAAGAATCTCCATTATAATTACCTACTGTCATTATTATAATCACAGTAACTGGCTTCAGCTGCCTCTCAACCCTGGAGAGAGGTTTGTAACAACTATTGTATTTTCCAATTAAAAAAGAAATACATAATACCCAGGGTTTTTACTTCAAGTATCACTTACTTTTAAGCCCTCGTTCTGGTAGCTCTGCAAGATACAGTCAAGGGTCCCTTTGTACTTGTTTAAATAAACTCCATCTGCCTGAAGTCGACTTTTCACGACATCCATTGGAGTGGCAGTCCCCCAGGAAATGGCTCCTAGAAAAATGCAGAAGTATTTGAACAATTTCTTCTCTGTATTTCCTTGGCTGCAGGTCAGTGAACTCAGAAATTCACCTCTCGTGTACCACATTGTATTCATGGGGGTTTCACTGCAGGGCATTCACCCTGCTCAGGTGCAGGAATGGTAGTTCTAGGAGCAAAGTTCCCTGTCTCTGGAAGAAGCACTGGGATTTTGGGGGTTATGCTGGTAATCAAATGCAGACAGCCCAGGACGTGTCCTCCACATGTAAATCTTCTGCTGTGCTTCTGGTAGAGCACGGACATGTCATGGGAAGAGCCCAAGCTGCAGACAAACTGGAATCCTCAGGTAATACCGTTGAAAAGCAAAGTTTGAGCTGAGAAAACAAGAGGCAGCTCCATTCCATAAAGCCAGGATTAAGCTCAACACAGCTGAGCTACCTCATCATTCGTATAAGGAAACAGGCCATTTACATTAATTACCCTGCAGCTGAGTGGGATCAGAGTGACAAGGTCAACATGCAACCACAATGCATGGTCCAGATGGCCAGACAAGAGTTTGTATGGACCTACGTGAGTGTTGGGACATGCTGGAGAACCTGTCCAGATGGGTCAGGGATCTGTTTATTTGCAGGAGAAACAGAGATGGTGTTTTGTGATCATTACCTGAGCTGAAGACTGACTTGCATCTAGGCGTGTGTGCGTAAGAAACAGACAAGAAATGGGGAGTGGGTGCAGGAGTGACCTTGTACATGTGAGTGTGGTGGGAGATGTACATGCCAGTCCTACTCCGGGTGTACAAGAAGATTAATAACAGTCAGCTCTGCTTCTGCTGCCTGTGAGTAGGGCACACACCCTCCTGGTGGGCAGCCAACAGGTTGAAGTCCTCTTCTGGAGGCATCTTGGCTGCCCGAGTATCACTGGCAATGTGATATGCAGGCTGCCATGGGACATCCAGGGAGCTGAAGGCACTGGCTGTGTTCCTTCTTGACATTGAGCCTGATGAATGTCTGATAACACAACTTCCATAGGGTTTGCCAAGTCATAAAGAGTAACTGGTGCCAGGGGACCTGGCCCTGGGAGAGGGAGGTTGTTCACCTCCATGTCCTCTCCTGGTGACCAGCAGGAGTCACCAGACATGGTGACTGGACCCTGGACCACCTCTATAATCTCCCATGGGAACCTTCCCACCCTTGTTTTGCCAGTGTTGTGGGAAACAAAGGTGCTTACCTGCTACTCCCCCTGCCAGCCAGATGGACGAGGGATTAGGGGAAATGCATCCATCAGGGGTAATCCAGCCACAGAAGAGTGTGTAAGGGATGAAATAGAGGCAGTACCCAGGAACATCCCTCAGAAGCATTGCTCCCGCGCCTCGGTATATTCCCGCTATCCCCTCTTTCTGTAGGACTGTCCTGAAGCAGTGAATGGGGCCTCGGTACACAGGAAACCCAGGAACTGTGGGGTTTACTTTCACGTTTGCTGCAAAAAAAGAAAAGGATACAACTGTTATAATAGATACGTTGCTACAGAACTGCTCCCAAAAGCCCACTGCCATTGATCAGAAATCACAATCACTGCCATCCATTTCCTTTTGCTAAATCCATATATAGTGTGGCAGAAAAAGGTTTAAGAAAGGGAATGCAGAAGGAAGCATTTCTAGCTCCTTTCATAGAATCATAGAATGGTTTGTGTTGGAAGGGACGCTACAGATCATCTCATTCCAACCCCCTGCCACAGGCAGGGGCACCTTCCACTAGAGCAGGTTGCTCCAAGCCCCTGTGTCCAACCTGGCCTTGAACACTGCCAGGGATGGGGCAGCCACAGCTTCTCTGGGCTTCCTAACACCTAATCTAAAACTCCCCTTTTTCAGCTTAAAGCCACCCCTCCTTGTCCTGTCCCTACAGACCCTTGTCCAAGGCCCCTCTCCATGTTTCTTGTAGCCCCTTCAGGCACTGGAGCTGCTCTAAGGTCTCCCTGGAACTTTCTCTTCTCCAGGCTGAACAAGCCCAGCTCTCAGCCTGTCTCCAGAGGTGTTCCAGCCCTCTGATCCTCTTCATGGCCCTCCACTGCAGTGACACAAGGCAGCAGAGAGCCAGGCCTTGGAGCAAAGTTGTCCTAAAGCTCTCAATAAACACCAAGGACTGTCAGAGAAAGTAAAAAGACGCTCTTTCTCCCTACCTTGGATGTACGGCTGCGTTTGCATCTGGAGCCGTATCTTTACCAGGTCCACAGGCGTGCCGATGCCCACGGAGATGAACCCAGCCACCATGCTGGCCAGAGCCACGTCAGCAAGCACCGGGGTGCTATCCGGCTCTCCATGGCGGAGCCGGCTGAGCAGCCGCTGCGTGTTGCTGAACACACCGAACACCACGGAGCTGTAGACAGCGATGCTGGCCAGAGGGAAGGACATGCCTTTGAAGAAGCCAACCACCTACCCAGGGAAGGGAGCAGGAGTCAGGAGGGTGAGTGGGACTGAGCAGTGTAAAGCCCAGCTTGTCTATGAGGGCAGAAGTGCAAATCCAAGTAGCAGATGTCTCCTGGAACCAAGCATTTGCACAGGAAAATGAATTCATACTGCTAAAGTCTAGGAAGGATTGTGCAGGGTATAGGATAAAGGGGACCCATATAAAAGTCTCTCTTACGGAGAGCTGCTGTGCTGGCATCACCAGACTCAGCAAAATACCTCCAGTAGAGCTTTGCCAGCAGGTACAGGCGAAAAAGCCAGTATGGATATAACACCCTGACCCATGTGAGGACATTTATCCCTCCATGCCAGGGATCTGTCTTTGCCCTACA